ACCCCCAGTGCGGGATCCCACTGGGATCAGAATGTAATCTTAACAAGACCCGCCGTTTTGTCGCCGTCGCCGCCCCATCGCCGCCTCGTCGACGCCTCGTCGCCGCCCGTCGTTTGGGTTCCGGTGCCGGGTCCGCCGCCTTGTTGTCGCCGCCTCGTCGCCCGTCGTCTGGGTTCTGGTGCCGGGTCCGCAGCCTTGTTGTCGCCGTCGCCGCTCCATTGCCACCTCGTCGCAGCTCGTCGTCTGGGCGCTGGTTCCGGGTCCGCCGCCTTTTTGTCGCCGTCGCCGCTCCGTTGACGCTTCATCGCAGCCCGTCGTCTGGGCTCTGGTTCAGGGTCCGCCGCATTGTTGTCGCCGTTGCCGCCCTGTCGCCCCCACGTCGACGCCCTGTCGCCGCCGCCCCTTTGCACCCCGGCCATTGCAATCGCATCTCATCGCGTTGCGTTGAATTGCTTTGCGCTAGGTCAGATTGCGTTGCATTGCTTAGCGATGTTTTCTATTGTCTTGTCTTGCGATGCATTGCCTTTCATTGTTTTGCGTCGCTTTGCATTGCAGCCGCATTGATTTACATTGCGTCGCATTGCATCGCATTGTTCCGCATTGCGTTGCATTGCATTGCATTGCAGTGCAATCGCATTACAATGCATTGGTCTGAATTGCTTTGCGCTTGTCGATTGCACCATATAGATTGAGTCAAACGAAGTCTGACTTTTAAAAAGGAGATAGATAGGTTCTACTACCCTCCCCGCCCGGACTTATCGATGCCCCGGGAATCTATGCAAAACGCAGATGGTTCTGACCCACTGTCCATCCTACCTGTCCAGGCCGGTATCGGCCCCCCCTCGGTTCCAAAAACTATTATACGGTGGCATTTTTTGTTATAACATAATTGTTTCCACGAGTTTTGTGGAAAACGTACAATGCGGGGCACACACGCGCGGCCGCTGCACGCGCATGTCGAAATCCTTACAAACATACGGTGTTTCTAACAATTGCAACAGCCCGCTTCAAGAATACCTAATACAACATACGACTTCCTCACCCACAAATTCTGCAAAAAAATCTGCCCGCGTGCTCTTGGCGAATCCTTCAGAAACCAATGGTTGTTTCACATTCCTTGACACATCCAGCTTCTTGGGCAACTTTTGCGCGCACGTCGATCTCATTCAAAAATGGTCGCGCGCCTGCCAGGGCCGCAATACCTTGTCAAAACTACCATGCAGGGCACATGCGCGCGGCCGCCGCACGTGCAGGTCGAAATCTTTCCAAACACACTGTGGTTTCAACAATTTGCAGACCGAGCTTCATGAAATCACACGGATCGTACCATACATCCTTGAATACATTTGCGAAGGCCCAAAAATACCCGCGCGCTTTCCGAATCATGGTTTTTTGAACATTTCTGTCACGCAAGCAACTTATGCGCGCGCGCCGAACGCCTTCAACATCGGTCGTGCGCCTGCCAGGGCCGCAATCGCTTGTGAAAAATACCATGCGGGGCCGCAGGGATGCATCAGCCAACACAAAGCACTCATCGCACTCGCTTCCGCATGGGTTTTGCAAACCAAATTGCGGGTGAGTGGGTAAGATGATTGCACGAGCAGTGGAGTTGTCAACTTCAAGTCCGGCAAGTGAATTATGGTACCACGTAGATTGCACCACGCATGTTGCGTTTCTTAGATTGCGCAACGTATAGTGCACCTCGTAGATCGCACAACATAAACTGTCCTTCCCGAGCAAAAGAGACTTCGATCTACCATCCCACCCCGCCGGGGTTATCCGTCTGGCTTCGCGCATTAGAATTTATATGTGATTATGCCCCATCGTCCAGTCTCAATACGACTTCGTACCATCCCTGCCAAGCCGATCTCGACACTCCCCCTCTTCCTCGCCAAACCATATTGTGCGCGCGCCGTCGTATTTAGAAAAAAACATCCCTTTGCAAGAGTCCTTTGAAACAGTGGACGAAGTGCACGCGCGCTCAGGGTTTCAACAACGACTGTAACGAAACAGTGCACAAAGGCCCGTAAGGGTTGCAAAAACGATTGTCTTCGAAACATGCAAATACATAGTTTTTTCTATTTGGTTTCCCAAATCAGTGCGCTAGCGCTCTTGACAGTTCTCAAGAATACCATGTGTGTTTTAACATGTTCCTCACATTTAACCAAGCGCGTGTGCTTTCGCACGCGCGTGTCGAGATCATTCATGCGCCTTGCGCGATTGTTGGGGGGGGGCACGATCCCTGACAATTTGTACAGAGCGGGCCACTCGCGCGCGTCGGCCGCGCGCGCATGTCGAAATCACCCCCCAAACTTCTGTTCACCGACACGTGGACACCACCATCGTCATCGGGGTGATCAGCATCGGCGCCGTCATTGTCCGCGCCATCGTCATTGTCAAAATCGCCACCATCATCGCTAATATTAACGTCGAGCCTGCCATTGTCGGTGTCGCGATGATACCGCGCCCGCCCGAGCCACCGACTCGCATTGAAGTGCCCGCGCGTCACCGTTGCCTGCGAGACGCGTTGGGAAGTGCCCTGTGGTCAGCGCCACCGCGGCCGCGTCGGCTACGCCAGACTAGCTGGTCGCTCTGCGCGCGCGCCTGCGCGCGCCGGCTCTAGCGCGGCCGCGGCGACGTGCCAGCCAGCGCCAAGCAGTTATCGCAATCGCCAGCGCATGTTTTTTTGTGTAAACCAACATGCGGATGGGTGGGCGGGGGGATCGCGGTCATTGGAGTTGGCATTTTCAATTTCGGCATGGTGCTTCGCGCAGCATAGATGGCGCCACATAGGTTCTCCTTCCCAAAATGGCACTAGAACCCCCCCCGCCCCGACGGACTTAACGGCGCACCTCTTCGCATTGCATTTGTTTGCTAAGACGTCTGCGCGTTCGCCCATGCTGAAGATGAGTTCGCGCCATCCCATGCAGCCCCTCGTCGACCCCCCTCCCGCGCGCACGCACGCGCCCGGCGTCAAAAAATACAATGCGCGCGCTCTTGTTAATCAAAGTCATCAATCCCAAGGACCCTTCGCAACTTATGGGGCGAAGCGCGCCCTCGCGTCGTCGCGCGCGCGTCGAAATCCTTCAACATTTTTGGATTCGTTATCCTTCCAACGTCGAGCGCCCCGCAAACACAGGCAAAAACGCACAGGCTCGCAACGGGAACGTTCCCACAGGAAACGTGCGTTCGCGTTCCTGCGGCTCTTAGGGAACCAACGGTTTGTAAGCGCCTTCACCAACTGTTACCAAACGTTCACCCCGTCGCGCGCGCGTCGACATGGATCGAACGCCCTGGCGCGAGAAACCTTCAGAACGCATTCGACGAAGCGCGCGCTCGCGTCGTCGCGCGCGCGGGCCGAAATCATTCAAATACCCGAGGTTGCGCAAGGATTTGATACGCGAGTGTTTCGACATCACGTCACAACGCGTTGCTTACTTTAGTGCCCGCGCGCTCGAGAATTTTCAAGAGCACCATGGGCTCCTCAACGTGTTCAGCCAATTCAACCAACTGGGCTTTTCCTTCCTCCCGTCGAAGGCACTCGAACGCCCCTGCGCGCGTGTTGGGGGGTACGACCCCTGTCAAAATAGTGCGGGCCACGCGCGCGCCGCGGCCGCGCGCGCGTGTCGAATTCTTTTTCAAAACCTCGTTGTCGTTGTTCTCGGCGCGATCAGCATCGGCGCCGCCATTGCCCTTGCCGTCGCCAGTCATCATCGCCGCCTTCGTCGCAAATTCCATCGCGGCGTTCACTCTCGTCGGCGTCGCCATGATAACGCGCCCGCCCAAGCCACCGACTCGCACCTGAAGTGCCTGCTGGGAAGTGCCCAGCAGCCAGCGCAACCGCGGCCGCGTCGGTCGCGCCAAATTAGCCGGCCGTTCTGCGCGCGAGCACGCGCGCTAGCGCGGTCGCAGCGACGCACCAGCCAACGCCAAGCACTCAACACAATTACCGCCGCATGGGTTTTGCAGACCAAGTTGAGGGCTTGTGGGTGAGATGATAGCGCGAGAAGTGGGATTGACGCTTCCAAGCATATCAATATTTTTCTCATGTCTAAAAGAGCGCCAGGGTCTACCCCCCCTTCTCCCCCCCCCTCCGGATTTAACCGTTTTTTTTCGTATTGCGATTCGCATGTGCTTCAGCCCCGTTGTCCATCCTAAATATGAACCCCTGTCATTCAGGCCAAACCTGCGACGGCTGCCCCCTCGCCCTCTGCGCACAATACTATGCGCGCACTCGTTGATCACAAATCATCAGTTTTCAAGAATATCTTTCAAAGCGTGGGGCGAAGTGCACGCGCCCGTGTCGTCGCGCGCGCCGACGTCTTTTAAACATCTGAGGTGTCGCTTGCAATTGAAAATCGAGCGCGCCGAAAACATGTGAGAGCATGTGGTTGCGCAACAGGGATTTCCACGGGAAACTTGCGGTCGCGCTCATGCGAAATCTTTCGAAGACTATCGGTTTGTCAACTTTTCTATAACACGTTCCCAAGCGGGACTCGCGCGCGCGCGCCTAAACCTCCTTGGCCAATCCATGTTTGCGCGCCCCCGAATCCAGAGGGCTCCCAGATGCCCCAAAGTGCAAGGTTTCCCAAACGCTGTTTGAGCGAAGGGGGTCGGAGGATCGCCGGCGCATCGACGATGCGGCTCGATGTGGAGCCCGTGTTTCCCCTCGCCGATGGCGCCACTGCGTCGGCGATGCAGCGGCGACGCGGTGCGGTCGTCCGACCCCATCCTCTCGGATTTTGTTGAGGGGTCCTCAGCCAAAGCCACCCGACGTCGTGACCGTGTCGCAGCCTGGACCCCCAGAGGTCCAGACCCCTTCCCCTGAAGACGGCCTTCCACCACCAGCCGTGATCTTTTTGTTGCGACGCGAGGAGGTCTGGGAGAAAAACCTCTGCCCTCCCAAACCCCACTCCGGGCTCCCGCCGAGCCTCGCGCACGCCGCGGGGGCGCTGAGGAAGGGGCTCGCAGGCGGGCAGCGCGGGGCCCGCTCACGAGAGGCACCTCCCACATCGCGATCCCCAGCCCGCACGAGTCGGACGTGGTGGACCTCCTGACCCTCGATCCGGAGGCGGTCGCCGCCGGCGACATCTCAGGCCGCTCCCGCGAGCTCGGTCCAGCTGCCAGCAAGGAAGCGAGTCTTGAGGGAAGCGCGCGCTCAGCTTGGGCTCTCGGGGCCCTCCCACGGCCCCAGGGCCGCAGGAAAACTACTCGTGCAGACGTCCTGGGGAGACGCCCCAGGGTCCAGGACCCATGTCTCGGCCACGCGCAGAGAGGGGTAGGAGGAGGGGGGATGGCTTCTTGGAAGCACCCCTGCTTCTCAGACGGCGCGGGCCTTCTCTATAGACGTAGGGCCGGGGCCGCATCTGCTCGGACCCCACCTGGGATGCCTGGAGCTTCGGGGCACCTGAGAGCCCTCCTGGAGGCCTCTGGGCACACCTGGAGATGCAGGTGCGGTTTGGGGCCTTTCCTGTTCCCCCGTAAGGGCTCTCCCCCTGGAGGCTCGTGAATCGAGGTCGACGTTGGTGTGTTGTATGTGTTGTCTGTGTGCGTGTGTGTCTGTGTGCGTGCGTGCGTGCGTGCGTGCGTGCGTGCGTGCGTGCGTGTGTGTGTGTGTGTGTGTGTGTGTGTGTGCCCTGGCCTGCGGCCGCCGCCCCGCTGCCCCGGCGCTGCCCCTGCCGCGGCCTGGCCCCGCTCTGAGCTGGCCCGGCCTCCCCTCCGTCCAGCCCGTGCCGGGCTTCCTCCTCTTCCTTCTCCTGCATTGCGGCATAATTCGCATCTGTGTGCCCTACACATGCCCTATCCGCCAGCGCAGTCACTCTGCCTAGCCGCCGACGCAACAAAAAGTGTGTGCGTATGTGTGTGTGTGTGCCCTGGTCTTTTGTGGACCTCTGGGTGCCTCCAGACGCCTTTCGGAGGCCTCCGTGCGGAGGCCTTATACATCCAGCATCGCTGTTGTTGCCTTCGCCACCGCTGATGGCACCCTACCCATTTGGCAAGTGGACGCGTCCCCTCCCCCCAGACTCAACAAGTGCAACGTAAACGGCATTACCCCACGCCCCCTTCCTTGCCCCCCCGCTGCTGTCTCGCCATGATGCAGTACTGAGTCTCGACGTGGAAGGAGGAGTGTGGATTGCCTTTGGGTGCTCGCTGTGGTGGCCCCTGTTTGTGCATGGACATCCCAGAGCCAAAAGACAATGAACACAGCTCGACACCAATTAATTAGGGGCATTATTCCTTTCAGCGCCGTTCGAAACAGTTCTGAGTAATGCAAAGCAGTGTGATACAAATCTGTGCTTGGCATTGGCTAATTGCTCTGCGTTGCTTGGCATTGCTCGGAATCGCTGTGTGGCATTCGTTGGCAGAGCGCCACATTGCTTGGCATTGCTCGGCGTTGGTTGAAATCGTTGCTTGGCGTTGCTTGGCCCTCCTTGAGGACACCGGGAAACCTGTGGAAGGCATTGTTTTAGGAACCAACCACGTCGCACTCCTCAGTTTCTTCAAAAAGAGTTGAGAACTCGTTAGGCGAGGCCTGATTGGCTAATCGCGTCGACGTTCACAGCGGCGGCCACAGCGACGAACCTGTCCCGCAATAGGATTGGAACTTGTGCGGTGCATATTTCCACATAAGGTTTTGTAAAACAGTAGTGCATTCTGGAGAACAGCTCATTGAGTGCACTTATGTCGTAGCCACGTAGGCTCAGGCCAAACGTTTTGCCCCCAGGGGCAGCTTGCCACAGTAGCTGAAGAAACCCTCGGGCGATTCAAAGGATGTCCGGGAAGGGGGCCATGGCCGTTCCCACTCCTGTGACTATGGGCAACGGCAGTGGCAGTGCGTCTAGACCAGCAGTGCCGTTGGGGCAGCACTCGTCTGACTACAAGGGCTGTTGGAAGCAGTGTGGTGGGTGCTGCTGGGCATACATAATGCCATGTGGCGAAAAGTGTTTTTGCGCCTTCCTTTGCATGTGCCCCATTCCTTTCCCTGCATGCGATTGCTATTGTCAAAAGGATGACAACCCCAGCGAATGGAAGGAGCCATGTGACGGCGATGGGAACTCCAACGTCATGTTCTTGAAGGACGAGGCGACAATCGGGACAAGGAACGAGGGCATATGCGGAACTTGCGAGTGTTGTGAGTGGCAAAAGGTTTGAGCGCGCGCGAGCGCGATCTCAATGGACCCCGTTAGTGTACGGCGCTGCTTGCCAAGACCACTCGACTGGCAGCCTCGTGCTCTCGCCTTTAATGGGCGGTGAGGTATTATTTGTCTTAATTCGCGAGCAGCCCTGTCCTAGACAGGCTGAATAATGGATGAGGGACCACCGGGATCTTCATTGAACCGCTTCGCTCATTCCGCCGGCCCTGGAGCGCTATTTGGGGCCTCTTGGGGCCGTCTTGGGGGCTTCTTAGGGGCTTCTTGGGAGCGTCTTGGGGCTCCTTGGCGGCGTATTGGGCTCCCCTGGGGCCTCTTGGGGGGCTCTTGGGGGCCCCTTGGGGCGGGAGGGGGGGTAGTCGTTGGCGGCCCCCCCCTCGGAGGCCACGATCTTCGTGAGTGGTGGCGAAAAACAGCCTCCCCCCTGGGGATCGCCCGGGGATCAGCCGGGGATCGGCCGGGGTACTTTTCGTCTGGGGCCCCCCAGGGGCCGCCCCGCGCGCGCGAACTAGAAATATTGTTAAATAGTTACCGGAGATCTTCGCACGCCTCTGGCCCGTTGGGCCGGCGAATTCTGTGTGTTCCATTTGAGTTCGGAACGTTTTAATGAATCGCAAGTTTTTGTTTGAGTAGATCACGCTGCATACACTTCCTGGGTTGGTAGACGGCTCACCGTATCTATGTTCAAGCCAGGGTCACAACATCAATTATTTTTCGATTGCTCGCTCTTGTTTGCACGCGTGCCATTCCCCCCCACTCCTCGATTCTCGCCTCGAGGGCCCCCAGCTGGCCGAAAAGAATGCTCTAGAGGAGTCCAGAGCGGCCCAAGAGGGCCCAGGGCGGCCCAAGAGGGCGCCAAGGGGGCCCAGGAGGACCTCAAGAGAGCCCAAGACGGCCCCGAGGATCCCCAAGAAGGCTCCAATTCGGCCCAAGACAGCTTCATGAGGCTCCCAAGAAGGACCATGAGAGCCTCCCGAAACAGCCACAAGACGGCCCAAGCGGGCCCCAGACGTCAACCGCAGTCAAGTGAGCATTATGTTAATTATCGTCCACACGTGCGTTGCATTCCCCCAGCATTTGGCCGCAAAGGTTCATGCCACAGGCAGGGGGTGGGGGGGATTCGCCGCAGACGCCTTCGATATTCAACTTCTTGTTCATCATCCTCGGCTTCCTTACCATTCCCTCGGCATTATCGTCGTATCAAGAGGACCGTCGCATCGTTTGAATCAGTCCACCCCCTGAGACAGTCATTACGCGTGTTGACGATTTCTGGGATCTCCTACTTTTTGGCTGCAGTAGCCGCACGGCGTCCCTGGGCGAGGCCGTGCATCGTCTACAAAGGCCTCATGATGACCCTCAGACGCCACACTGCGGTTTTGGACTATCATGGCACGGCCCCTCTTCCGCCCTTGGCCCTGGCATCCAGGCAGGCGATGATCAACAAGTATCCCCGCGGTGCAAACGAATCCCACGCTTGTCATTGGGATGGGTGTGTCTTACGTCTGGAGTCGTCCATTCCGCGTTCCGAACTTACGTGCCCTGTGCTTCTCCAGACGCTGCTGCGACCGATGGCGAACAGCAGCGCCACACGTGTACCGTTGAGCGAGATACCTTGCTGGCTCATTGGGGACATGTTTCCAGAGTGCGATCTGCAGCCGCAAGCCCCAACCTGGGCAACGACAGCCCTCACCTGGGATGCAGCTGGTGCCGCGCCAGACTTTGCACAAAAAAGGGGACTTCACGCAGACAGGAAAAGTGGAGGCTGAGAAAGGAGAGGCTGAGGACGATAAACGAATGCGCATCCGGCGTCGGCAACGATAACGAGAAGGAATAGTATAGGGAAGTTGAGGAAGTGCGACGATAACGAATGTGATGAGGGAGAGAGAAGCGGCCAGCGAAAGGCGAAATTTGAGCGAACAGGACGAGGAGGAGTTGCGACGACAACGAGGACGAGAACGAAACGAGGAGGTTGAACGAGGAGCAGCAGGGAAGAGAGGAGGGAAGTAGAAGGGGACGGGTGAATCGAGCGGGAGGAAGAGGAGTATGAGAAGGAGGAGGAGGAGGAGGAGATGGAGGAGGAGAGGAAAGAGCCGCGCCCCAAGCGGCCCTGACCCAAGATAGTTCCAAGAGGACCTTTGGCTCAGCTCTAGCAGACTCTTGGGGCACGCTTCACCGCGCATTGACGTGGCAATTCTCGATCACGCGGTGTGTCTGACCAACCTCCGTCGCCGTCGCGCCGCGCGTGGCGCGTAGGGAAAAACATGTGTATACGTCGCGGTCCCGCCGGTCGCTGTCGCACCGTTGGCCCAGCCATCGCGTGTTGTTATGTGTTGGCCATCTGTCTGGCCCCCCCCACACTCACCGTCGCACCGCGCGAAGGCAAGTAAAGGGTCCATCTGTCGCAGCCCCGCTGGTCGCTGTCGCACCGCTCGCCCACCTGCGCAACTTGCGCTGGCCACCTGTCTGGCCAGCCTCTCGTCGCCGTCGCACCAAACACCTCGCACGTCCCGCATGCTTGAGGTGAGCTGCTCACGTCGCGCCAATCGCACATCGCACAGCTGATGCGAGTGGTTTCTGAACTGGTCCGTGCGGCGACATATCGTTTCTGCACGCCTGTCCAAGATGAGCCCGTTGCCGCCCCCTCATGTTTCTTGGCTAGTCCCATGGCACGTTCCGTGGCATATGTTCTGGCGTGTCCCGTTGCACGTCCCCTGGTTGGCTCATTCCGTGGCACGCATGCGGCGCGTCCCCGCACACGTTCCGTGGCGTATCCCGTGGCACGTCCCGTGATACGGTCCTTGGCATGTTCCCTGGCGCTTCCATTGCCGCGGCCACTGCCACGCCACCTGGCACGTCCACTGGTGCGTCCCGTGGCACGTTTCCTGGTTCGTCTTTTTGTCACTTCCCCTGGCATTTCCGTGGCGCGTCCCCTGGCGCGTCCCTTGTCATGTCCCTTGGCAAGTCCCCTGACACGACCGTTTCGGCACAACGCAGTGCAGCACGGCACGGCACAGCATGGCACAGCGCACCGCACCACAGCCCTTGGCACGGGGCCAGCACCATTGGTATCTTCAGCAGCGCCACTTCCCATCATGACCCAAGTTGGGGCAGTCCTATTGCCTTTTCCGGGCTCGTGGATGGATGAGGCGATGGACGCCGCCAGAGGCGATCGTGTTGTTGCTCTGTTGCTGCTGCTGCTGTGTGAGTGGTGACTTCGGCCTGTCCTCGGGCACTCGGAGGTGTCCTGTGGCCTCCGCGGGCCCATCTCTCGGCACGGGGCTGCTGGAACCTCGCCGACCGCAGCGGCCCCGCCTGCGCCATCAGATCCTGGCGCGTTTCGGCAGGCGTGCGCCGCAGGTGTCGCGCACGCGAGCTGCTTGGTCTGGCGCCGGGTGCCGCTCGCAGTGGGGAGCCGCAGACCTGCAGAGCTGCCGCGCTGGGCTTCCCCAGCGACTCCACGGAGGCCTCTGGAGGTCCCCAGGGACCTCGGAACACGACGCGGGTCTTCCCCAGCGACTCCACGGAGGTCCCAGGATTCCCTCCCCCCAGCAGGAGGCCTCCACGAGCCCCTGGAGGCCCACATCGGGCACATCACGTCCAAGAGCCTAGGGCCTCGATCGTCGATCCGCCGCCGCTGACGCCTCCGCCGCCGCCTCCTCCTCCTCCTGCTCCTCCTCCTCCTCCTCCTCCTCCTCCTCCTCCTCCTCCTCCTCCTCCCCCTCCTCCTCCTCCCCCTCCTCCTTCCCCTCCTCCCCTGCTCCTTCTCCTCCTCCTCCTCCCCCTCCTCCCCCTCCTCCTCCTCTTCCCCCTCCTCCTGCTCCTCCTCCCCCTCCTCCCCTCCTCCTCCTCCTCCTCCTCCTCCTCCTCCCTCCTCCTCCCCCTCCTCCCCCTCCTCCTCCTCCCCTCCCTTTCTCCCCCTGACCCTCCTCCTCCTCCTCCTCCTCCTCCCTCCTCCCCCCTCCTCCTCTCCTCCTCCTCCTTCTCCTCCTCCTCCTCCTTTTCCTCCTCCTCCTCATCCTCCCCCTCCTCCGCCTCCTCCTCCTCATCATCCTCCTCCTCCCCCTCCTCCTCTTCCTCTTCTTCCTCCTCCTCCTCCCTCCCAGCGCCCCGCTCGCCAGACTGCCGGCACCTGGACAACTACCCTACCATAATCATCGAGCTGCGTGATTTCAACCTCACGCTGTACCCGGAGGACGGGGCAGACAAGATCGGCACGTCCAGCGCAGCTCGTGGGCGCTCGCTTGGTGCCGAGGTGGAGGCAGGGGTGTCCGTGGTTCGGTCAGCTTGGTCGTCGGTATCGTTTATCCGATCCCCATCTCCATCTCCATCCCCTTCGAGCCCCCCACCAAATGATCACCCCAGTTGGGGAATGCACCCCTCGAAGCCCGAAGAGAACTATATCCCCTTCTAGGGGGGTAAATCGGCCAGCGGGGTCCAGGCCACACCGCTGGGGATGGGGATCGGTGAAACGATACTCAGTCGCGTCGTAGTCGGCTGCGTTCGGTCGAGTCCCTTCCGTCGGTCGGTGTGTCGTTGTTGCGGTGCCACGCCCTTCTGGGCTGCTTGCGGCCGGCCTGTCGGTCACGGTCGGTTTCGGTTGCGCTGTCGGGTCGGTCAGTCTCCGTTTGCGCACTGCTGCTGTGGACGCCCTGTGCGAGAAGAGGGGATCGAGGGATCGAGGCCAGGGCCTTAAAGGGGTGCTTTCTCCGTGGTTCGCAGCGCAGGCGTCTTCCTGGGATTGCTGACGTCTTCGCCGATTTCTACGAGAAGTTGTACCGGTGCCCCCCCGAAGCTCATCCGCCAGCGCAGGAGAGTGCAACCTCCCACACCAATAACAACACGACGACTCACATGTTACAGAGTATCCCACCTTTCACCGACGACGAACTACACCAGGCAGTGAAGCAACTGAGAAACGGCAGGTGTAAAGATACGGCAGGTCTTACCGCAGAGCTTCTGAAAGCAGGAGGGCGCATCATCGAACAGCACTTGTTGAAGCTCTTTAACGGCATCTTGGCGCCGGAGCAGACACCGCCAGAGCAATGGAGACGGACTACAATCAGCGTCATACACAAGTCTGGGGATCCACAACTACCCAATAATTACAGACCAATTGCCATCATACCGTTGCTGTACAAGCTGATGGCCCGACTGCTTTGCAACAGACTCGAGGCGCACTTCGACTCACAACAATCACCTGACCAAGCTGGCTTCCGAAAAGGTTTCTGCACGGAGGATCACTTATTCACCACAACGATGCTATTCGAACAATCCAACGAATTGCAAATGAATCTATGGACGGCAGCGATAGACTTCAAGAAGGCATTCGATTGCGTATATCACCACTGCCTCTGGGAAGCTCTCCGCGATCAAGGTGTGCCTGCACCCTACATCACCATGCTCCAGAAATTATACAATAGACAGACTGCGACAGTGCGGACCGACGTCAACAGCAGAGGATTCAGTATTGAACGGGGCGTCAAACAAGGCGACCCTCTAAGTTCTTACTTGTTCAACGCGTTGCTCGAGCACGTGTTCCGGAAACTCAAGCCAGTCTGGACACGAAAGGGCTTTGGAATTAAATTGGGACATACCAAACCGACGTTTTTTTACCAACTTGCGCTTTGCAGACGACGTCCTACTACTCGCACCCAACCTGAGACAACTGAAATGTACTCTTCGTGATCTCAAACAAACAGCCTCAAAATGTGGGCTCGAGATACACCCAGACAAGACGAACATCCTCACGAACATAAGCCGGCGACAGGGGCGAACGATTACTCATGTTGATATCGACGGCGACAGAGTCGAAATCCTCAGCGACGAACAGAGCACGAAGTACCTCGGCCGGAAGCTTACATTCCACGACTACCACCCCACCGAGCTCGCCAACAGAATCGCAATGGCATGGCGCAAATTCAACCAATTGCGCGACGAACTAACGAGCAAACGGTACCCGCTCCACAGCAGGCTCCGGCTATTCAGCGGCGCCGTAACACCGACAGTTATGTATGGCTGCACTTCGTGGACTCTTACCAAAGACCTGCTGTTGACATTACGACGTGCACAACGACGTATGCTACGACTCATTGTGAACACTCCGAGGCGACGGGGGAGCACCCGACAGGACGCAGCAGCCGACGACGACGCCCAGTCCAACCCTGCTCGCACCGACGATGACACCAGCGACAGCACGACCGACGCAAGAAGGGAATTCGAGTTCGACGACATCGAAGACGATACAGGACTCGAACCATGGGAGGAGTTCATTCGCAGAGCCACACATGTGGCTACAGATCTCGCTGCCCGCTCCCACGTGGACGAGTGGACAACAGTATACTACAGACGAAAATGGCGGTGGGCAAAGCGAGTGGCAACACACTCGAACCTTAGATGGACAAGGCTTGCGGCAGCGTGGGAGCCGGAAGTCCACGACAATCGAACAGCAAACCGCAGACATGGACGACAACGCAAGCGGTGGTGCGACGACATATCACAGTTTATACAAATTACCACTGGGAGTATCACCAAACATTGGTTATATTATGCTTGTGACCAGAAATTATGGGACAGCTGGGAAGGCGCCTTCCTCCACCACATGCAATAACCGGGCTCCGGCCCACCCGCGCTGCTCCTAGGGGGCCCGCCGGCCGTCCGGCGGACTCAGCGCGCTCTTCTCTTCTTCTCTTCTCGCAGCGCAGGCACCTGAACATTGCCGCTCGTCGCAGATCGCGGGGCGCATTGCGCCAAGCCGGGTGATCTCAGTACCCCGCAGGACGGAGTGGCCCTCCGTAAGAGTAGCCCTTCGTCGGAGTGACCTTTCTGGTGCGGGCACGGGCACACAGGTGTTCCGCCACAGCGGCACCAGAGGTCATTCTTGCCGAGGGTCGCAAGAGAGATCTATATTCCGCGATCCATACTTCAGGGGCAACGTTAGGGGGGACAGGTTGACGGGATGATGCATCCACCTCCAATCGCCCATTGATCGTTGAAAGGGGCCCAATACTTCGCCGTGACAAAAGTTTCCTTTGAAAGGCAGAAAACCGAAATCACCAAATGAGGACCGTAGGGACGACCCCAGGATAATTGTTTCCCATGTGAAAAATCGATGGGATCATTCGGCCGAGATTTGGGAGATGCCGGGATAATTATTTTTGTTCGTAAAAAGCCAATGGGATAATTTCGGTCCGGGATCTAAAGTATATTCTTCTTCTTCTTCTTATTAAGCCCCAGCACACCAGGGGGTAATTATCCCGCCCGTGGCAGAGGCCCGAACAACTTTTTCTTGTTAGGATTCTAAGGGGGGCAGGTGGTGGTTGATGCCATTTTGGCACGTCCACGGCTCCTCCAAATTTCAAAGGAACTTTCGTCACGCCGCTGTAGCCATTCCCTCCCTAAGACCATGCGGACACACTATCGGGTGCTGATCGCCGATCTGACGGCGATGTATCGCTGAATCAACCTCAGCTCGATGTCTCCTCCCCTGGAGCCCGCCCCCCCTAACGTTTCCCCCCCCGCTTTCGAGCGGGAGCAGACGTGAGAGCCGTTGACTACAATGAAGTATCGGCTGCTCCAGTGTCCAAATGTCTGCCAGGCGCGAATCGTCTGGCTTCGTGCGTCGCGGACTGGGCCGAAGAGGTGTTCTTCTTCCAGGGCGTTTCCGCGAGGGCGAGACGACGACCGCGCGCCGCGCGTCGCGGGGCGCGAGGCGGCCTCGCGAGGGCGCGGTGGCCGCGGGGCGAAGACGTCTTGCTTTGCGCATCGCGGGGCGCACGGTGGCCGCTTGCACGCTCGCCCGTGTCCTCGGGCAGGTGAGAGCGCCGCGGGGGCGGCCGGCCCCGCCGACGGGGCCCCAGAGGCAGGCGGAGCCTTCGCCGCGGGCGGCCGCACGCCGAGGGCGCTCTCGGCACACGGCGCCCGGGGCCGACGAAACGCGGCTGCCCGCCCCCCCCATTTCAGGGGGGGGGGGGCAGGGCGGTGCGCTCTGGCCAGACTCCGAGGCGGGGGTGGATTGATCTGGCCACCACCTGAGGGATGGATCTTCGGGGGCCTCGGCCGTGCCCCCCGCCGAGGCACCCGAAGACCGATCCCCCAGGCGGTGGCGACAGATAAATCCCCGCCTCGCACAGAGTTGCGAGGCGGATCCGGCCATGGCGACGAGAGTCCCCTTGGGAGGCCCGAAGGAATCGCGGAACGAATCTCCCAGAGCTTCGGCATTCGACCCAGAGGGACTCGATGCGTACACCGCGTTGTTTGGTCGACCAGCGAGCCAAGGAGTTCGGTGGAGGAGTGTGGTGAATAGAGAGTACAGGTGCCCCAGCGTCCCATGGGGGTGGGACGCTGGGGCGACTCTACACCGAGCTCATTGGCCTTCTAGACGCTTCGCGTAATCCCACCCCCCCGTCCAGAAACCATGCCCAGGCGAGTTGTTTTACTCCGGCATGCTGGGGAGCACGCAGTGGAACACCGGCTTGGAACTCTTCATGCACCAAGGTGGGGGAGGATGAAGGCGTAACCTGAGGAGGAGGAGGAGGAGGAGGAGGAGGAGGAGGAGGAAGATGAGCAGGAGGAGGAGGAGGAAGGAGGAGGAGAAAGGAGCAGGTGGAGGGGAAGGGGGAGGAGGGACAAGGGAGAAGGGTGAAGGAAAGAGGGAGGAGGAGGAGGAGGAGGAGGAGGAGGAGGATTAGGCGGAGGAGGAAGAGGAAGAGGAGGAAGATGAACAGAAAGGCCAGATGCCTCTTGGATGCCTCTCGGAGTCTCTTCGGATGTCTCTCGAGAGCTTCTTGTCGGCCTGTTGTGGCGTCTTGGGGGCCTCTTGGTGGCCCCGGGGGCCTCCTGAAGCGTCTTGGGTGCCTCGGGGGAACCGCTTGGGGCCTCTGGGGGGCATCTTGGGCATCGTGGGGGCCTCTTGGGGCCTCCTGGTCGCCCCGTGGGGCCCTCTTGGGGTACTCTTGGGAGCCTCGGGGGCCATCTTGGGGTCATCGCGGAGGTGATCGATCAAAGAGGGGGGGGTCCAATTAGGGTCCCCCCTCCAGGAGGACCAAATTCGCCCAAAACCTGATGATTGCGAAGGCCTTACGGCTGGTGCCGCCGACCCTGAAGGGGGACGACGAGGACAACGGCGGCGGCGGCGGCGGCGACGACGACGACGACGCTGACATTGGCCAGAGTCCTCAGGGATGCTTCTTGGGGTCTCTTCGGAAGGCTCTCGGGGACCTCTGGGGAGGAATGTTGGGGCCTCTTGAGAGCCTCTTGGAGGCCTCTTAGGGGCCTGCCTCTTCGGACTTCCTGTGTGCCTCTTGTGGGCCTCTTGGGACCTCTTGGGGGCCTCCAAGAGCACAGCCTCTCGGGGCCAAGGGCTCGAAATGTCCGCTTTGGTCCCCCGTCTTGGCACGCTCTTGGAGCCTTCTTGGGGGCCTCTTGGGCGCTGTCTTGGTGTCCTCTTGGGCTGCTTGGGGGCCCTCTTGGAGTCCTCTTGGGCCGTCTTGGAGCGATCTTGGGAGCCTCTTGGGCCGCGTTGGAGCGCAATTCATTTTGCCTCTTGGGGCTCTCTCGGGAGTGCTCTTGGAGACTTCTTAGGGCCTCTTGGAGGCCTCTTGGGCAGTCTGGAGGGCGTGAAGGCGTGTTGGCCCGATCGTTTGGCGATTGGGTGCCCTCTCGGACCGTCTCGGCGGCCTCGGGCGGCACTCGTGGCCTGTCTAGAATTTTCAAAGCAGACCCCGGGGGGGAATACGTATCTGACCCCCCCTACCCCCCCAGGACCCCCCTCCACCCCCTCTGGGACCCCCCCCCCACGGGGCGGGTATCAAAGGGAACATATGTCCCCTCGACTCGATTACGACATTGCCAGGTTTCTCTCGTTGACAGACTTGAGGAGGAGGGTGCAGCGAAAGCGGACGACGAAGACGACGATTGACAAAGACGACGACTAGCACAGACAAGCCCCCCCCACACACACACACACATTCACGCACACATACACGCGCACACACAGACACACACGCACACACGCACACACGCAGACGCACGCGCACGCGCACGCGCACGCGCACGCACACGCACACGCACACGCACACGCACACGCGAGCACACACGCATACGCACGCGCACGCGCACGCGCACGCGCACGCGCACGCGCACGCGCACGCGTACGCGTACACGCGCACGCGCACGCGCACGCGCACGCGCACGCGCACACGCACACGCACACGCACGCGTACGCGTACACGCGCACGCGCACGCGCACGCGCACGCGCACGCACACGCACACGCACACGCACACGCACACGCACACGCACATGCACATGCACATGCACATGCACATGCACATGCACCACACACCACACACACACACACACCACACACCACACACCACACACCACACACCACACACCACACACCACACACCACACACCACACACCACACACCACACACCACACACCATGCACCACGCACCACGCACCACGCACCACGCACCACGCACCACAGACCACACACCATGCACCACGCACCACGCACCACGCACCACGCACCACAGACCACACACCACACACCACACACCACACCACCACACACACACAGACACGCCGACAGTGTCGGCGAATTTGGGGTTTCTCGCCGAGGCCATCTGAGACACTCTAACGACCCGCGGGGCGCACCGTCCAGGTCCTGGGGGCCCCGAGGGGGAACAGGGAGGTTGGAAGGAAGAGGAAACCCGCCAAACCACTCACGCCCGAAAGGGCTGGCCCCTCCCGGGGACCGCCCTGTCCGCGCTTACGCCGAGCGCCGACGAGCCACTTCAGCCCGAAAAGCGCTGCGTGGCACTGCTCGCCCCCCCGCCCCACCCCCCCTCACAGAAGGGATCGACCTCCCGTCGCCCCGCCCCGCGGCCGTCCGCCGCCCCCGCGCCACCATGCGCCGCAGCTGGCGCCCCGCGCCTCTCAACCAGACGGCCCTGATGGTGCCGCGCGTGCCGGGCTCCGTGGCCGATACGCCCGCCGGGTTGGCCGGCGCTCTCTGCGGGGCCTCCAGCCAGAGCGGCAGCATCAGGGGCAACGTTAGGGGGGGGCATTGGCTCAGGGGGGGGGGGACGCGTCGAACCCAGTCGTCCAGGGATCGCGGTGAGGGGCCCCGACAGCCCGGCCCGCCCAGGACCCTGCGGAATCGCCATCGGGGATCTGTCGTCGATCTGTCGGCGATGTCTTGCCGATTCGAGGTCGATGTCTCCCCCCCCGTGAGCCGGTCTCCCCGTGCCGTTCTCCCTCGCAGCGCCCACACCACGCCGATGACCTCATCGAGGGGCACGCTGCAGGAGCTGAGCAGCTTCGGCGAGGCCTCCGAGGCCGACGGGGACTGCCGGTCGGGATGCGGGACGCTCGGGTGGGCCGCACGCTTACATGACGGCTGCTCGTGGCCACGGCATCTCAAAAATCTTTCGAGCTCAGCGGCTCTCCCAGAGATGCTGCTCGTGGAGACGCCCGACTACTCGGAGGCGGAGTCGCAGATCCTGTCGCCGCTCGACAGCATGATGCAGAAGGCGAAGCGCTGGCACGCGTTCACGCGGGGCGTTGACTCCCTCTACGCGGCATGATTCTGTGGCCCTTCCCCCCGCACCTCTCCTCTCCCGTGCCACGTTATGGGGGGGATCTGCTCAGGAGCGATACATCGACCCCCAATCGCTCATCGATCGACGATAGGGGCCCGATATCCCGCCCCGCCTAGGAACACGCGGATTCGCTGTCGGGCCTATTGCTGATCTAACGGCGACGTTTCGCCGATTCCAGCTTGATCTGTCCTCTCCTGAACCGTTCCCCCCCTGACGCTCTCCCTCACCTCGCCTCTCCCACCCGACAATACAATGACCCAGTATGAGCACTGGTCTCCTCTCCCCCCTGGCTATGTCTGGGAGATGCCCCACCTTCCCGCGCATTGTTTGCATACTGGATGTCGTGGTCTCTGAACGGTGTCTTTCTTTGCCGCGGGCCCTCCCTGAGATTGCTCGCATGGCCACGCTTGGTTTGCAGGTTGGTCGGTTTTCTTGTCGTTTGGCTGGCTGGCAACTTGGCTGGGTGGCGTGCTGTTGTCGGCGAACTTGGGCTGTTTGCTGGCTGTCTTGTTGCGCGCGTCTATCAATGCAGTTAACCCGCATAGTAAGGATGGGCAACCTTCCCAAGGGTACCCTTGCATCCTTGCCTCCTCGGTCCATCCTTCGCCGCTTTCGCTGGCCGCGCCCCGCTCGAAAATCTTCGATATGGGCGTCCAAGGCCCTTGCATCCTCACCGCGCATCCTTGCTATACTGGTTGACTGCACTGCATCAATAGGGGACAGGAAGGCATGGTGGCCTCGGGAGCGCGCACTTCCTGCGGTTTACGAGGACGATTGGCCTCGAGCCCCGAGCGGAATTCTCAGGATACAGCGGGGGGGTCCCGAAAAGCGCCCCCCCAAAACACAGATCCCAAGACAGAAATGGCAGCGTTGATGGGCTTGTTTTCCACCACCGCCACCACAAGTTGGAGAGGCAGGTGGTCCTCCTCCTCCTCCTCCTCCTCCTCCTCCTCCTCGTCCTCCTTCTCCTTCCCCCCTCCAAGTTAAGGTGGTGGTGGTGGAAAACAGGCCCATCGAGCGTTTCTGCTCTGGAGAGGGTTGGGGCTTCTGGGCGGCCGCGGTGGCGGGGGCTCGTGGCCTCGGGAGCGCCAGTGCGCAGTCATGTAGAGGGCTGTGGCCTCGGCAGCGCGAATCTGGCCTGATCCTTTGTACGTTTCGCGGAGCCCCGCCAGGCAGTCCAGAAGCGATGCCCGAGCGAGTTGCCCTGATCACGGGATGTGGAGGAGGAGCATGCAGTTGAGCAAAGGGCCGGGGATGTCGTCGTACTCCAAGGGGGGGGAGGATGCAGGAAGAATCGGAGGGGGAGAGGGAGGGGGAGGGAGAGGGAGAGGATGGAGGAGGAGTAGGCGGATGAGGCAGAGGAGGAGGAGGAGGGCGAACGGAAAGGCCAGAGGCATCTTGGACGCATATTTCGGATGTCTCTTGAACGCCTCTTGGAGTCCTACTGGAGCGTCTTGGGGGCCTCTTGGCGGTCCTGGGGGCCTCTGCGAGCGTTTTTGGTTCCTCGGGAGAGCCTCTTTGGGCTTCTTGAGGGTCTCGTGTGAGCCTCTTGGAGGCCTCGTGGGGGCCTCTCGCAGCCTCCTGGGCGCCCTCTTGGGCTCTTTGTGGCCTTCTTGGAGCACTCTTGGGAGCCTCGGGGGCCATCTTGGGGCCATCTTCGAGGAGGTCGATCGAAGAAGGGGGGTAGTAAATTAGCTCCATCCCACCAGGAGGCCAAACTTCGACCACATTCAATCATCACCACTGATTTGTGCCTTCTCGCAGAGGCCATCTTGGACGCTCCGTTCGGTCGCGGGGCATCTCGTCCGGGGGGAGGGGGTACGAGGGGCCAAGATACCATCCCCGCCCGCGAGCTGCCTCCCAACACAGAGAAGTAGCAGCCGAGTCTCAGCATGTTCAGCGGTCGTATATGGACGGGCAGCTACTTGAAATCAAAACCCACCCCATGTACGCAGCGTTGGGGCGAGGTGCGCCACGCGTGTCAGGCGTGCCAGGCGCGCCACGGGAACAGATCCGCAATCGGAACACGGGCTCGTCAGCAGAACTCGAGGCCCGTCAGCGGAACGGGGTGGCCCGGCAGGGGAACAGGGGCCGCGCACGTCAGGCGAACACCTGGCGACCGTTGGCCGAACTCGTTGGCCTCAGCTCTGGTGCTTACCACTGTAGCTCGTCGTCTTCTGTGGGAGGGGGGGTGCGATATGGAAAATTATAGGCTTGGAGTTCTAGGGAGACAAGGAGGATGGTGGAGGTGCCTGGAGCGAGGTTCGGTCGTTTTCTTCTCCTCTTTCTCACTCCCTCCCTCTCCTCCCTCCTCCCTTCTCTGCCCCCTCCACTTCGGCCCCAGGGCACCCGAGTGGGTCCTTAACTCTGCCGCAATTGGGGGCCCCTGGGCTTCGGGGCCATGGTCCATGATTGAGCCATTACCCTCCCTCCTCTGTATCCTTCCTCCTCTTCCTTATCCTCCCTCCTCCCCTCAGTCTCTCCCTCTCTCTCTGCCTTTCTCTCTCCACGTATATGTTGTGCTCTTTGTTTTGTTCTCTCTTTCTCTCTCTCTTTCTCTCTCTCTCTCACCCTGTCTTCAACTGCTGGTTTCAGCGAGCGATTTCCACGCCGGTCCGCTCTAGTTGGGTGATGTCGTTTTTTTTGTGCGTGGGTGGAGCGTGGAGAAATCACCAAATTAGGGCGCATCTCTCTCTCTCTCTCTCTCTTTCTTCTCTCTTTCCCTCTCTCTCTATATCTATACATATATATTTATATACATACATATATATATATATATATATATATATATCCTACTCCCTGTATCTTTCTCTCTCTCTCTCTCTCTTTCTTTGTTTCGATTCCTCTGTCTGGCGCTCGGGGAAATCACCCGATTAGGGGTTATCTCTCGATCTCCTTTTTTTCTTCTCTCGCTTTCTCTCTCTCTCTCACCCTGTCCTTTACCGTTGGTTTCAGCGGGCGACTCCCTGGCCGGCCCGCCCTACTTGGGTGATTTCGTTTGCGTGTTGAGTGTGGGCGGAGCGTGGAGAAATCACCAAATTTGGGCGCCCCTCTCTCTCTATGTATAGGATACCGAAGAAAAACCCAATCAGGGCTATAGGGCTAGGGGGCTGTAGGGCTATTGAGCTATAGGGTTATAAAGCTATAGGGCTATAGAAGAGTTGTAGGACTATTGGGCTATTGGGCTATAGGGCTATAGGGCTATAGGGCTATATATAGCCCTATAGGGCACCCCCGGGCCCCCAGGGCCCCCCCGGGCACGCCCGGGCACCCGGGCACCCGGGCACCCCCGGGCCCCCCCCGGGCACCCGGGCCCCGGGCAACCCCGGGCAACCCCGGGCACCCAGGCACCCGGGCGTGCAGCGAAAATCGGCGACAAACCGAATCTCACTTCGCGTGGGTTGTTGCGTCAGAAGCCTCACCGCCACTTCCGTCGGGAGAGGGAAAGACCACAGCACCACTGGGCACCCACAGGTCCTTTCTGGCCAAATTTTGGCGCGCATCCGCTCCTGTGCTCACCGTCCCCTTCTTCCTTCTACGTAGCACTACTCCTCTTCGTTCGGACACCGCATGCGTCGGCTGGGCGGGCTGGGCGCTTCGCTTGAGACGCCCTCCCCGTTCCATGACCCCGAGGCCCGGGATGTCCAACGCTTGCACGGATCTCCCCCGGGTCCGTTTTGCTTGGAGTTTCGGGGCGAATCCAGCCGTGGCGCCGACGGCCTCCTAGGAGGCCCCAGGAGGGCGAAAACCAGGGGCTCTCTGCCGAATCCTCTTCGCTCGCATGACGATCGGCCTTACCTCGCCTCGCCTCCCAGGCGGAGGGGGAGGATGAGGAGGAAGAGGAGGAAAAGGAGGAGGAAAAGGAGGACGAGGAGGAGGAAGGAAAAAGAGAGGGGAGGGAGGAGGGAGGAAGGAGGGGGGAGGGACAAGTTAGGCGCGCTCGCGTCAACATCTGACATCCTACCCCTCCCTCCCATTCCTTACCATGGCGCTGATTTTCTCTATCCGCGGACGCGTGTCGTAGCGGACCTGTGGCTCCGCGCGCGTGTGCGTAGTGGGTGGTGGTGCGCGTGCGTGCGTGCGTGTGTGCGTGGTTGTGGTTGTTGTGGTAGTGGTGTGTGTGTGTGTGCGTATGTGCGCTTGTGCTGCTGTGGTGACGTGGTGTGGCGTCTTGGTGGTTTGGTGGTGGGCCAGGTGCGTACGTGCGTGATGGCGGTGGTGGTGGTGGTGGCGGTGGTGGTGGTGGTGTGTGTGTGTGTGTCTGTGTGCGTCTGTGCGTGTGTGTGTGTGTGCGTGTGTGTGTATGTGTGTGTATGTGTGCGTGCGTGCGTGCGTGTGTGTCTGTGTGTGCGCGCGTGTGATGTGGTGTGACGCGGTGTAGCGTGGTGGTGGTGGTGGGTGGGGTAGTGCGGTGGTGGTGGTGGCGGTGCGCGGTGGTGGTGCGCGTGCGTGCGTGCGTGCGTTGGTGGGTGGAAGTGGCGGTGGGTGTGCGTGCGGCGGGGCGGGGCGTGGTGCGGCGCGGTGGTGGCGGGCGGATGGGCGCGCGAGAAAGAGGCCCGCGCTGGAGCGAGAACGCCATCCTGAACGACGGAGGCAAAACACCGATCCGAAAATGAGGCCCACGCTGCAGCAGCGGGAGCACGATTCGGAACGATTCGGGAGCAGAAATGAGGCCGGCGCCTCAGCGAGAGCAGCATTTTGAAATTTTGAAAAAAACGCAGGCGAAAGCCCAACTCCCGGGAATCCTGTGTGCAAAAAAACAATACGCGGGGGGGGGTCGAATATTCCCAGGACGCCATCAGGGGAAGAGGGAGAGTAGTATTCATATTGAGTAATTGTGGAGGGGCGGGGAGGGAGGAGGGAGGAGGGAAGAGGGAGGAAAGAGGTGGGAGGAGTCGGCTTGCAGGGGGGGGCGGGCGCGGGGGGGGCGCCAACGTCCGCGCCTTCCCTGGACTCTGAGGACTCTTCCGGGACCAGTCGGCCTC